CACTCTACTCAGGGTAGTAGAGTGAGACTCTGTCTCCAAAAAAAACTGGTCATGGGGAGGGGACGAAGGAACTGTAAGAAATGAGAGAAAAGGTTCGTTTCCCCCTTACTTTTGAAGACTGACCCAAATTATAGAGGTACTCATAGCTCGGGAGGTTGTAGCCGACGATGTAATGGGTCTTCCAGCCGCCAAACAGAGGGAACCGGGGCCGGATTTCCATCTCCACGGAGTCGTCCAAAATAAGGAGGTGGCTGGTGGAGACATTACCGATCTCGTCCCGGTAATAGACGTCCTGGGCGGCAGCTGGCAGGATGGTCTGCAAGACACAGAACGTGTCCTTCGTAAAACGCCACTAAGCTGCTCCGAGGAAATAAATGATCGTGCCTGCAGAAAACACTTCCCGCACCGAGATCTCGACACGTTACTACTTAATAAAAACAGTCCGCAGACTGTAAGCAGCCTAACGAAGTTCACCTTGCCCACCACCGTTTCGAAATTTCTAGAAATCACATCTACCGCTCGATCGAGGTTGCTAGGCAGCCAAATTCCTCTAAATAGTACCCAATTAAGAGAACTGCAAACACCTTAACACCGAAGCCTTAAGACGGAGGTGAAAATAGTTTTCCAAGTTAGTTTGCAGACAGGGAAACTGAAGATGGAAGAAATCACATCAAAGGACTAGCGGGGAGAGTTCTGGAAATGGTTTTCCCAGCTAATATTCCTTATACCGTATCTTCTAAATAAATCTGTAAGTGTACCTGGATCCCGGGGGAGAGGAATGTAATAGCTTTGTTCACACAGTGAGCCCTTCTGTAACATACAAGTACGTGAAAATGTTGACAAGATTTCATTTATGACACAAAAAAAGATAGAAATCTGGACATGCAACATGGATAGATTTTTTGTAAAACAGCATTACAAAAAAACAAAGAAATAGATCAAAGCAATATTTAGCGTTTCGGTCGTGGTACTATGTTTTTTCTTTTTTTTGTTGTTTTTTTTTTTTTTTAGAGATGGAGTCTCGCTCTGTCTCCCGGGGCTAGAGTGCCGTGGCGTCAGCCTCGCTCACAGCAGCCTCCAACTCCTGGGCTCAAGCGATCCTCCCGCCTCAGCCTCCCGAGTAGCTGGGACTATAGGACTAGCTGGGATGACAGGAGTAGCTGGGACTACAGGCACATGGCACCATGCCCAGCTAATTTTTTCTATATATTTTTAGTTGTCCGGCTAATTTCTTTCTATTTTTTAGTAAAGACGGGGTCTTGCTATGTTGCCCAGGCTGGTACTGAACTCCTGGCCTCAAGCGATCCTCCTGCCTCAGCCTCCCAAGTAGCTGGGACTACAGGCATGCGCCACCATGCCCAGCTAATTTTTTCTATATATTTTTAGTTGTCCAATTAATTTCTTTCTAATTTTAGTAGAGACGGGGTCTTGCTGTTGCTCTTGCTCAGGCTGGTTTCGAACTCCTGAGCTCAAACAATCCACCCACCTCGGCCTCCCAGAGTGCTAGGATTACAGGCATGAGCCACCGCGCCCGGCCGACATAATAACTTTTAACAAGAAACAACAAATACATATTCTGTTTGTTGCCTTACCTTTTACCCTTAATTTTGGTTTCTCGTACTTCCAGATTGTTCTCTTCTTCATCTTCTCCCTTTGCCTATAACAGAAAAGAGCAAGTTATTCATTTTTGCGTCTTTTGGCTTCTAAATTTGGAGTCAACAGATAACCAACTGCCTGAGAATTTCACCATTAAAGTGTCAAAACTATCGGAACATTTTAAAGATTGAATTATGGCTTCAGTAACAATTTTTTTTCATCTGAAACGTAAGAATATTGTCAATGATTTACGTAGATGTGGGCTAAGCAGTTTAATGACCTCTATAAATACAAAACATTTTCCTGAGATGGGGTATAAAGTAGCACATATATCCATTTAACTGGTCTCTCCCTTGGTCTACGGAATTAACAAATGATTTTGAATAAATCTGGGGACGGGACTACAGATCTCATATCTCAACAGGACTCCACCTGACAAGCCATCAAGGCTAGAAAAGGTGACACGGGACAGTCTAAGGACACACACAAAGTGTGGAATAGACTAACGTAAACTGGAGCCCGGACTTACAATTCGCTGTAAGACCTCACATAGGAGGTTAAATAACCTCCCCAGACTACGGACCCCTCTCTTGCTGTATGAGAACACCTGCAGCCCACAGGGTTAAATGAGAATGTACTTAAAATACCCACGGCAATACCAGATACAATGTAATTCTCAATGAGAAAGAAGTATCTTACCAGGAAAAGGAAAAACAAAACAAAAACTAAGAGACACAAGGAAACTTCTGGAAGTGAAGGATACGTTTATTACCTAGATTGTGGTAACGGTAATACGCAGTTTTTCTGTACGCCGATAATGTTGGAGAAAGTAAAATTTAAAAAGAGAAATAGGCCGGGTGTGGTGGCTTACGCCTGTAATCCTCCCATTCTGGGAGGCCAAGGCAGGAGGATCGCTCGAGGTCAGGAGTT